AAAACTTTTTTAAATAATAAAAATCATTAAGTGTGAAAAATATAAAAAGAAAATTGTCAATCATCCAAATTATAAAGTGTGACAAATCACCTAAAAACAGATTTGCACAGAGATTGAGATTCGAAAGTTCGATTAGGAGTAAAAAAGAGTATACACGCAACTCACAATCCTCCGTTTAAACACAGTTACATACTTCAATATTGAGAGGTTTTAATTCAACTTATTTATTATGTTTGTATTTAAGTTTTAATAAGCAAGTTTGAAAAAGAAATAAACCAAATTAAAACATTTTTAAAATTTTTGGGTTGAAATGGATAAAATCAAGAACATGCATGCACAATAAACACAAATAAAAATTAGATGTACTGATTTAATTAAATTCAAAAAATAGAGAACTGATTGATTAAATTCAAAATATGAAGGACTGTTTTGAAAAGAGTTCAGACCTATGGATTAAATTACTTAATTATAAAAGTTTTAGGTGAAATTGAAATGAAGAAAGATAATTTTGACTTTAACTAATATTAAAAGAAATTAAAGATTTAAATTAATTAATTATAATAATTAATTTAATCAAATAATTAATTTAATATTAATTAAAATTATTTAAAATTAATTAATTATATTATTAATCTTTAATTAAAATAATTAAATAATATAATGATCATTAATTATAAATAAAATCAATTCTCTTAATTAACTCATTCATTTTATTTATATTATATATTTTTTACTTTTTTTTTTTTTTTTTAAAATCTACTTGCTCCCAAAAAAATCATAAACTGTCAAGCTAAACATAAAAAAAAAAAAAAAAATCAAACATCAAACGAAAATGAAATCTAGATTTTAGAGTTCATGTCATTTCACTAAAAGATAAACACATTCATTAAAAAATAAACCGAATAATTTTTTTTTTTTCATTCATTGTCCAATGAAACACGTACAATCTTAACATCAGATCTTAAAAAAAAAACCAAACACCCACAAAATAAGAACAAAGAGGGCAGATATTTTTTGAGAGAAAAACAGATCTAGATCTGATGGAAGAAACCCACCCACGGGATCAAGCTTCCACCATCTCCTTCACCATTTTCTTAACAAAAATCCTATGTTCAGGGCTATACCTAAAGATGACAACTCCAGAAAATGGAATCCCTCTTGCAACCTCAACAATCTCCTTTCACAAAACAGACTCCTTCCAGCAGAAAAATCCCTCCTTTACTCCGCCGTCAACACCACACTCAAAACCAAAAGAACCCCCCCTTTTACTCCGCCGTCAACACCAGACTCAACCAAAAGAACCCCCTATTTCTAACCTAAAGCCCTCTATTTATATCTAAACAATGAAACCCTAAAAGGAACATTCCAGAAATAACTCTCCGGGCCATTTGGATCCATGGCTTTTGGGCTTCTCCGATCTTTATCTTCTACCAGAATCTGCGAAATGCACTTGGGCCTCGCCGATCTTTACCCTTGCAAGATGTATTTGGGCCTTCATCTATGCCCAATTCATCTTGTCGTCACCCACTCGTGATCTGTAGCTGGCATAGATTTGGTTTGCAGATCTGTTTCAGTTGGATGACGATAAAGATCTGGCTGAGTCGCCGGAGCTTCGCGTGTACATCACCTCCGTCACCAATATACAAAGCTAGCTCTCCCCTTTTCAATTCCGATGCTTACTCGCCGGCATGGATCTGATTGATGAGTTCGGCTACGACATTTGGCGAGCCTTAGATCTTCTGTCCTTCGAAAAACAACACAAAATCTCCTTGGCAGAAATTTACAAAGCCGGAACAATCCGCGTGGAAGGCTCTGTGGAAGCGCTCGACGAAGGCTTTAGAGGATCTATCCGATTCTGGGTTTGAAGTTCGGCTAAAAATACCGTCGTGCGAGGGAGCAGCTGAGAGAAGGAAAGGAGAGGAAAAAGGAGGGAGAGGTAGAAGGTCGACGGTGACTTTCTTTCTTGAGGAGTGGCTGTCGGCTGTTCAAGGAGGAAGAAGAGGAAACCGGAGGAAGAAAGAGAAGTTATGGTCCGAAGAGATTTTGGGTATGGAAGAGGTGCTTGATCGTGATGGGAGAAGGAGAGGGTTGCCAGCGGGTTTGAAGAAGGGAGGTGGTTGCCGGCTGTGGTTAAGGAAGGAGGTGGTTGCCGACTATGGCGATGATGAAATCGGTAAGAGGATGGTGGTGATGGTGATCGGAGAAAGAAGCAGAAGGTGGCTGTCGGCTGAGAAGGAAGAAGGCTGCTTGGGGAGAGAGAGAAACAAAGATTGATGAGGAAGAAGAAGAAGGTTTCGAAGTTTCTTCTTCTTCTTTTGTGGGTTTGGGTTAAATGGTGGGTTTTGGGTTTTCGGGTTTGGGTAATTGGTGGGTTTTGGGTTTGGGTAATTGATGGGTCTTGGGTTTGGTTTTTTCGGTTTTTATGGGTTTTGGGTTTTGGGTTTTGGATTTTGATTTTGGATTTGAGGCTTAAACTTTAATGCATTCCACTTTTCATCTTTTCATTTCTTCAATTGAATCCTTGTCTTAATTTCATTCATCTCCCTATTCCAATACTCTTTACAAAATCCATTTTTTTTACTCTTAAACCTAACAAGAAAACAAAAATAAAATATATTAGTTAAAATAAAAATAAAAATAAAAATCAAAGCAAAAATTAAAATAAAATAAAATTTTATTAAAAATTTGAGTTAAGACACTTATTTACTTAATTAAACAAGAGAGTTGGAGAGAAATGAAAGGATAAATGTCAGTTAAAAAAATTAATTAATTAAAATGTAGTCCTTCAATTAATCAAATTTGAAAAGAAATTAGTCCCAAACTTTATCATTTTTATCAATCCCTTAAACCATGGCTATTTTTTTTATAAATAAACAGAGCAAGCTTCGGCTAATCAATAAAAGAACACATTGAAACCCAGAGTCACCTCATTCTTAACATTTCATAAACAAATAAAATCAAGAAATGAGACACGCAATTGAGGATAACATCTGGGTATATCATCAAAGCTAGCTTTTCCTATCACATTTATCAAGAAAAAAAATATGTTGAGGGATTTCAAGAGATGCTTTTATCATGCTTATGGGTTGAAGAAAAAATTGGAGACTGGTATGAAAATACTAATACCGCATCAAAAATGGCTTAAGTAATTGATATCCCACAGGCTTATCTCCT